GAGTTTTCCTACATTGTTTTTCTTATTCTTTATCACACGCCTAAATCTAACTGATCTGAAAAACCGTAATTGTATGTGTTTCTGAATAGGGGTGTCAATATTGAAGTTGGGCTAAATGGTGGGTTTTTTAGTCTTCACCCAAATCAAATTATTCACATCATCAGGAATGCAAACAGTGCAACAAACTTTTGATGTGGTATGAACATTTTAATCAGCAGAATACTAGGTAAAGCCTTCTACACAAGTTCAGATTTGGAATACTGAAAATTTATCCCACAATATATTTCACTCAAAATCAGTAATATTGGCAATGGAACCAGATACTGACTAATGTAAACCCAAAATAACTTACTCATTAAAGTCCTGAACAATGCAGTCATCAACTTTAGGGAAAAGTGCAAGTGAAGTATCTTACCCATCATACAGGTTGCAAGAGTCTATGCAGGTCCTTCCCCTGATGAAGCGTTTGCAGGAGAGACACTGGTCTGGCCCTGGCCCCCAACAGCCATCACTTGAGCATAACTCATTACACACCATTCCATCAGCAGCTGCAGAGAGAGGATACTATCATTAATTTACATAGTTCTCTGAAATCCAAAGGAAACATTTCATTCAGTATTCTGCCATACTCAGAGAAGTAAACCGAGTGTTCAGATTTTCTAGAAATGGAATAGAGAAAAACCAGAAAATTATCATCATACCACTACAAAAACACACTGTGCACTCAAGGTTTGAATACTGTACACACTTCTGGTCTGTTCCTTTCAGAAAGGATATAGTAGAGTGAGAAAAAGGTTTAAGAGCACTGCAAGGATGATCAAAACTAGGTAACAGCTTCTATACCAGGAATGAACAGACAAGAAGCCTTAGATTTGGATGAGAAAGGACATGATAAAGGTCTATAAAATTGTGAATGACAGGAAGACAAGGAAGCATGAAACAATTGTTCATTGCTTCTTCCAAGTCCCTCATGGGCATTCAAAGACACAGGAACCCAACACGGTTCAAAACTGAGGTTTATCTTAATAGAAAGTATAGATCAAGCTGCAGAATTCCCTGACACAGGACATGGTAAATGCCAAAAATTCGAAGAATTTGAAAAATCAATTGTCCAAATCCACAGAAGGGCTATTAAACTAAAATATAAAATGCTACCTCTGATTTGAGGACTCCCCGAAATAAAACTTAAGGATGGTGGGGAAAAAGTTGAAGAAAATTAATCATTAACTGCATTTTTTTTAAGTTGTTTATTGCAAAAGCACTTGAAGAGCCGAACAGCCTTTATATTCAATCCCCCAAAACACATAAAATAAACAATGGTCCCTGTCTCAAAACAAAAATTCAGCTTAAGTAAAAAAATGAACAAAGGGTGAGGGGGAAAGGTTGTTTCAAAGAATATAAACAATTACGCATTTTAATATAAATATCTAGGTGACTGTAACAGATGGAGAAAATAAGCAAACAGCAAAAGGAAACACATGTTCTCTCTCCAGCTTCTGAAGAAAGTCCAGTTGTACCGATTCTGTCAGACCCTGGCATGTGGAAAGAGTAGATCTCTTAATCTGAATCCAGTCTTGCACAATGAAACTTTTTATGCAAATGACTGCATACTAGACTGAGTAGATTAAAAATAGCAAAGATCTGAAATATCAGAGATGGCAAATATATAAACACTTGTTTGGGGTTTTTCTTTTAAACCACTGGAAACAACTTGAGGAAGTGTCAAATAATAAATTAAAAGTAGATTTGGTGGTAGAATTCTACTGGCCATCTACAGCACTGCCTCCAGTGCTGTAGCAAAGATGGCCAGTCAGGAACAAACATGCACACACTGAATACACATATAAAGCAGCAACTGCATACGTCCAAGCACACATTTAAAGAGGAGCAATAGCAAAATCCACAGAAAATATTTTCACAAAAATGCAAAAAGCCCTCTGGCAGCTTTATATTAAATAAAAAGACAGTAGTTCTTTGCGCATGATTTTTCTACACTTCTTTCGGCACAGCAGCATAGCCAGGTGACTGGAAAAAAAAAGCCCTATTTTCATTTCAGGATACCTGATGACCTTGTCTTCACTGTCAAGACTGGAACAGTGCAGTTAGGTACTGTCCATTACAATCTACCTTAATATTTAAGAGGTATACTGAGTTTTATTATCTGAGAAGCACAAAGCCTTTCTAAATCACAAAAGAGACAGCAGAAAGATGCCTCCTGCTCTCCACAGCATGTTTTAACACTGTGCTATGGTGTATATAATGTCCCACATTTGAACCACTGAGTATCTGTCACAGCAGCCTACAGGAGAGCACACTGCTTCACACAGCAACTCTCTCCTTAACCGCTGCTTTTCATCATGCAGCATTGTTCTATGTTGGCACTGTGTTTGCCAAACACATCTTTCTGATCTATACAGCACATCTAGCCTATGTGCTCTTCTGTTTCCTACAAGGTAACTCCTGCACCTCCTTTTGCCTGCTGACATGCAGGAAGCTCACATCACACTGGCAGGCTGTGCTCCTTTGATGTGCACTACTTGCCCCATCCCTTCTCCCACTGTCACCCTGCTTTCCGACCACTGATTTATCAGAAAGCACTTCTTTCATAAAAAAATACACAACAATTGCATGCATGGTTTCTCTCTCCTAGCCCATGTAGCAAGTAGGCAAGAGAAGTAAAGCTTCTTCCGTATTTCTTTTTTTCTTGCAATAGGATATTTTGCTTTATCAAGATTGAGAATGGTAGATTTTAATGTACTTGTTTCTTTTTCTGCCGAGAACATTTTCATTATTCAGTGCCAAAAAAGGATGTTTCACCTTTACAAGCAGCACAGGAACCAGTCAGAGACTTCATGTCCTCCAGCCCTTGCAGGCAAACCAATCCAAGAACAAGAGATTCCTCAGCACGCTTCCTACATGTACAGCGCTGCTGCTGACGCCGCACGGCTCTGCTGTACAATACGTGTAATTGCAGGTAGATGAGTAGGTAAAAGCAGGTAGATGAGCACTGTCTTATTCAATACAATACCACAAATAACCTCAGCCATGAAAAGTCTGCACACTCATGTCTTATCACGGCTGGAATGCTTGAACACAATTTTTTTTTAATACCACATATACTTTCTTAATGACAACATCCAGAAGGTGTTCAGAAGGATCTTTTTGGTTCTTCTTTAGCCTCAAAGCTCAAATCAGGTACAGCCTAACATAAAATAATTACAGTTAGGAGTATTTACAGGTGGTCATTTAATTTTCTTTAAAGCATATTAATTCTCAGAGATTCCAGCACAGCAAGAGAGACCTGAGCTATTTAGCATGCCATTAGAGATGTCTTGTCCTCTTTGCTTGAGCTCTGCTGTAAACCAGGAGTCATTCTGCTGCAGTCAAAGGAACTACGCAAAACCAGTATGAGCAGAGACAAAAAAAGTCAGCTTCTCATTGTTGTCCTAACCCCAACTTTTTTTAAGCATGGCAGCATTTTAGTAACAAGTACCAGACATCAGTAGTTCCACTATGCTGTCACTGACTAAATTTCCCAGAGATCAGAGGAACTAGGCGAAAGCTTTGCATTAGCAAATGCTACACGTGTAGCCCACAGACTTTCCTTTTTCACCTACTTGTAGACATTTCATGGTATCTTGGTCTAACGCTGGCTTTGCACAGTACAGTTCAGGAGGCACCCTGACTTGGTATTAAAGGCCAATTTGGGCCTATTTCATGTTCATTGCCTACAGGAGCACCCAGGAAAAAGTTCCGGGTGATACAGATGGTCATTTCAGGGGAACGCCATTTATGCCCTAGGATTTAGAGCACACTTGAGGGCTCCCTCAGAGCAGACTCCAGCACTTCACACTGGGTTTGCCAATCTCCCTTGATCCCATCCAGCCTCATGGTGACGTGTGACTGACACTGGCCAGACAAATACGTGAGTCCTGCCTCATGTTGTCTGCCACAGGAACACCTGGGATTAACAGACAGCTTCAGGCTCAAACCTTATCAGCACAAAAACAAAAACAAAAAACAAACCCGAAAAAAAAAAACAAAAACCCCAAACCCAGGAACTATCACAGTTCTAATTAAGCAAACTTTTTATATAAATAGTTCTATTTCCTAGTCAATGACTCACTTGAAGTACTTGTCATGCAATTAAAAAACACACACTGCTTTGGAGATCCCTTTGTTCTCATTTTCCATCTTAAGAATGTTAGTTATTCTTCTGATTCTGTTTTACACACTCTCATCACTAAATTTCCTATTTGCTTTCTCACCTTTTTTTGTAACTTGAAATTGTGCTTTTATCACCAGTGATTTCCTTTCTTTTTGCTGTTCTTGGCTGTCAGACTACTCTGGGATCAGAATTTATTTACACACACAGAGTGTTGTACTAAAATATCCCTTCACGTAGCAAGTGACACTATTACAAGATAGCTCAGTATATCTTCTCTGATATACTCAGAAAGAGTAACCTTACGCAAATAAAATGAGAGCTTTTCAGTAAAGAAAATAATGATTACCCTATTGAAATCTAGCCAACACAGTGCCTGTAGTCTATGAAAAAAGCAATATAAACAAAAAAAAATAAATCACTATTTCCTTCTGCTTATTTCCAAGTCATAGAAATGTTTTCATAAATGAATCTTGGCAAGAAGGGAGTGGGGTTTTTGAGAACTTATAAAACCCATTCCACTTGTCTGTCTTCCTCCTCTTTAATTATAGGGATAGCTAAAGAAATGTTTCAATTTTAGACACATTATTTGGCATTTCCATGGACTGACAATGTTCTCAATCTCCAGCATATCACATGGCCGTATGTGGAAGGAAAGAACAATAATGCTTTTGACAGGAACTCATTTTCATTGGGAGTTTTAGAACAAGTGTTCATTCTTTATTAATGGGGTCACACAGGTTAGAAGCAGAAACGTTCAATGTTTTTCCCCAACCTAGATAGAACATAAGAAAATTAGCTATCTAAAAAAAGGAAAAATATTGTTATTTGGCTATAAACTTATGGGCCTGATCCAAAGCTCCAGGAACTCAATAGAAAAGCTCCCGCAGACTTCAATTAGCTTTGTATCACGCCTGATAATGAATGTAATCATTTATTCAGGTTGTTAATTGGTGGCTAAATTGACATAATTCATAACAATCACATTTATAACAACCTTTGCCTAGAAAGGTTTCACGGTACACTGCAGGTGTGACTAAAGCTGAAAGGAATTATTTAAATAACTTTGTATAAAAGAAGATTTTTTCTACATTTATTTTGTGTGCACTCATATTTAACATGACTCACCTCTGACTGTTCCAGAAAAAAACCCATGCTGGGAAAAAAAGGCAGATTCTTCACTTCAGCATGGAACAATGGTAAAATCTAACTATGAGAGCACATTCTCTAGCAAAGAGCTTTATAGTCATTCATTCTGCATTAATAATGTTCATAACAAAGTAAGTTTTATGCACAAACTGTGTTTAACATTGCAGTTTATAGTAGTAGACAATTAAAAGTCTACATTAGCTGAGAGCTTCATGCACTGCATTTTAGATAAATGCTCTCCACTTGGTTTATCGGTTTGAAGATGCCCATTTGCCATCTGAACAACCTTGGGAGACGCTGTCAGACTGTGCTAAAGGTGCAACGGCTGATGAAGCCTCAACTTGCCCCTTGCCCTCAAGTCTTCTCCTGTAACCTGCCCCCCAAGCCTAGGCATCTTTCAGGGTCTGCGCAGTTCAGAAGCCTCTTGCTGATGATTGCGTACTGCCACCCTTTCCATCGTGCTCAGCCTCAAAGGCGTCACTTTCTTCTATGTTCCCTGTGTACACAAGCTTGGACACTAACATTTCTATCCCTGAATCTGTGTAAGGAAGGTGAAGAAGAGAGAAGTCGCATTCCTTCCAGGAACTCACCCCTCTCTAGCCCTGCATAGGACAATATTTGAAAGATAACACAAAGCAATAGAGCACTATGGGTTTTATGGATTTTTTTAAAATTCAAGAAACACACATATGTTTTGCTCTTGTATTTTCAACATTCTACAAACAAGTAAAGTCTGCCCTGGGCTTTTAACCAGCTTTTGGAAAAGCCATCCTGATGGTAGTGAAGTATTTGGTGACTTATTTTAACATTGTTAAGAAGTGGCAGAAATAGCAAGATGAAATAATTGATGGTATCAGGAATATAAAGTGTATTTTGTGTGTTGGATAATTCTGTAGCATTTTCCACTGACTGAAGTCTGTTGTCTTTGTCTTCCTCATTGAATAGAAAAAATAAATCTGAGTTCTGCCAAACCCTATAATGCCAGTGTTATCTCAAAGATGAAGTACCCCTACAGACTGAACTTTTCAACAAATACTTTACTCTCTCAACTTTTTTTTTTAATATTTCCTCACTGACTTATACGTTCAACTGAATGCAGCATTAAACGGTATGGAAAGGGTATTGCCATCTTGTGATAATCGCTAAAAGTCACTTAAATATGATGCTGACTAGATCTTGGAAGCTCTTACTTGAGTTTTAAGAAAAGTTACACATGGATATTAAAGGTTTGCTGTAACTTGCTTTAAGCCATTAGCAATAACTAGGTAGCAAGGAAAGGAAAAACAAGCTGATAGTGACTCAAAATATATAAAGGAATAATAATAAACGTATCTGAGAGCGGCTGTAGTAATTAACATGGTCTAGCCTGGTTTCTTCACTGGAAACCATGTGAAAAAAAAAATCTTTAATGGATATTTCTATTAACAAGTCACACCCTGCTAGTTACCATACAAGCAGATAGTATGTATACTATAGAGGATGGATCCAATCCTGCAAATACTTACTTACGCATTTCCCTTCCCCTTTCTGTTTAGTCTTATTTGTCACTCAGAGAGGCCTGGGCATATGCCCAAGCATCTGCAGGATCAGTGTTTGGAACAGGCAAAATAACTGAATGGCAGACACTGAAACCCTTAAGGCGTGCCCTCAGATCCCAAACATTCGGGCAGTGGAAGATTCTGAGAAAACTCTCCTAATCCCCAGGCTGTTGACCTATCCTGAAAATCACAGATGTTTCAGAGGATGCTGGAGAAATGCATCTGGCTCTAAGGAACAGTTCTGCCTTACCCCAAGTAATTGTGAAGATTTTAGTTAGACAACTAACCTGTAGCAGAACCCATTTAACCCCAGAGAGGTGCTGACTGACAGGCAGCCTTGAAACAGCAGGATAGCTCTTCTCATCTAATGCTCATCTCAAAAGGCCACAAAACGTTAATCAATTCATTCACACAGATGTGCATAGAGAAAGAAAACCACTGCTCCCTGTTAGGACTCAGGCAGTCAGCTGAGACACTGCCTTCTGATCGGAGTAACCTGGCCCCTAGCCTACGTTCATTATATACAGTCCATTTAATGCACATAGGTTAGGGTCCATTTTTAAAACTAGTCCCTTGGTACTGTAGCTTACATTGTGACTTCTTAAAGTGAAATGAATGAGATTTGTTTTCCTTATGAAGACTCCCTCAGTGTAAAATTCAATAAAATATCTTTAGTAGTATTTTTGTTCTTGGAAAAGAACTTGTTGCTAGACTGCTAGCACAGAACTAGGTTCCTCCCAACTACTTGATCCGATTAAACTCCAACCCCACTGCAGGGAAAAACAGCCAGCAATCCACCATCTCTGGACAGATGTGATTCTATTCCCTGGCAACACCTATATTTGCCAAATAATATACCATTTTTCATAGCTGGCTTTCTATGTGGGGGCAGAAAAAAACAGACTGCATATTGGAACTACAAGCCATCTATGAATGACCTAGCTGGCAAAACTGATGGTACCAGTTATTCATGGGAAGTCAGGAGCTTTCCTCCAAGTTTCAAAGGAGCTGACGGTGCCAGAAAATGCATGCTTTTCCCTTGCAAGGCTGATCTTATTCAATGCTCAAATAATATTCACCCTCAGAAGAACTCAAAGCAAACAAAAAGCCTTGAGATGTAAAAAAATGAAAAACAAGAGAACGGAAGCCTTTAAGATGGCGATACAAAGCTTATGGATGCTGAGCAACTGGAGCTAATTCAGAACAAGATAAAGTTGAGTGTGTTGAAAACAGAGACTATGCCTTCATCCTGTAACTGGTTCACTCATTTCATTGTTCAGGATATTCTTGGACTTTTCATCAACGCTTCACGCCCACGTGATATTATCATCACGTGTTCATCTCTGGATGACAAAGAGAGCTACGCTACTCTCACAGACAGCCCCTGGATTCATTTACTCATGCCTTTGGCTGGATTACAGCAGTAAGAACCCCAGGGAATGAGGCTGTTCAACACACAGGACTCCCATGTGCACTTCTTCACCACAGAAGTAGCAGCAGACTGCTTCTCACCTCCGCCCTCTGTATTGCCCTCCTACAAAATGTTCTACCAAATGTAAGAGTTTCACAGCCTACGCCAAGGACATTTTTTAAAAACATACACAAAAACTTCTACCAAGAAAAGCTCTGTTCAACACATCCTTCTGTCTCACATAACAGAATGTTTACGTTAAAGGATAAAGTATGCTGCAGTTTAAAAGTGGACAGTGGTTTGCAGGACATTAAGAAACAACCCTTTCCCTCTACACCCTCATGCACGATCACAATTAAACTATCTACATCAACTGAAAGAGGTATTTCTTTAACCTTCACTTTTTTAACTTGTACATAGAGAAATAGCCAAATAATGACAACAATGACCAAAACCACGCAGAGACCTACCAAACAAGACTTTCCACTTCATGGAGCTCTTACATGGCAGAAGAGATTAGAAAAATAACTGAGCAGCAGTGATAAATGTATAGCTGTGTTTCACCTAACACTGGAAGGTACACTCATACTACAGCAATGAGCACAGCCACCAATTTTCTCAAAGCATATCAGCATAGTACTTCAAAGACAGGGTAGGAAAAAAGGGGGGGAAAAGGGAGAATGAAAAAAAGGACTAAAAGAATAAGTTAAAAGTAGGACCACATCCTGGAAAAACCCAAAGCAAACATTTTTGGCTGGTCAAAGGACAAAACCCAGAAATACAACCTAAACATACAGCAATTTAATGAGTCCCATTCTATTGCTAGCAGTCTAACAGATGCTTAAAATGAACTGTATTGCTGCTACAATATGACTGTATTAATGCAATTTGCTGCCTGATTTCTGCATAAACAAATTGTTTCATCTGCTACATAGCATTCATTTGCTTTTCAGTACTATAATCTCAGTTCAGGTATTGGCACCTAAGCTTTCTTGAAAGACAGTTCGGCCTTATTAAAAGTAATCTTTCTTATCGGATAGGTCAAGTGCAGGAAGGAGGAAGCCAGTGATCAAAAAAGTCCTGTAAGTCACCTTTCCAGATTAAGACAGGGACACTTTGATGAAGCTGGGTAGGGGAAGCAAAAGATGGTAATCTCACTCCAGAAGGAAAGGGCTGTAGTTTTCCAATGTGTAAAATCGGTGCCTTACATGAACACTACATTCACCCCACATTGATGGCATTCAGAATTCGTATTTGTGAAACTTGATCTCTAATCTGGAAAGTTCGTATCATGGCAAGGAAGCAGCACTCTCTCTCTTCCCCCTTTCACTTGTTCATACTTTAAAACATTTCGTTTGCCTATAAATCTGCTCAGAGGCAGACTGGGCCAAAACCTTTGATTCTGTAAATGACCACAGCTCCACTGTGGCGTCCACAGAGTTCCAAGAGACACCAGCCAAGTTCCTGGCCTGCTCGCTGCGCTGTATCCTGTCAGTAATTGCATCATTTTCCCCTCTAAGTGAGCCAAACATAGGCGAGAAGTTTTGCACTGAGCAGCAGTACTTACTGCAGTTCTCTGCCTTCTTATTTCGATGAATGACTGTCTTTTGACTAGGTGTGCTGAAGAGGCTGGTCCAGTTGACAGTATGGTAGTAGCACAAATTGCTGTTGTCTGTTATGTAGATGTTGCCAGCACTGATTTGCTTCAAGGACTGAAACTGCAGGGAGGTAATGCCTTGTTGCTTTAGGATGAGTAAGGAAAGGCCACTGTGATTAAAAAAAAAAGTAAGAGAGAACAGGAATTAGCTCCAGAAGGTGGAACTTCTTAGAGGTGTTTGGGTATTTCCCAGTAAAATTAGTTCCTAACATCAAGGTGATCTTTCTTGCAAAACTGAAATTTGGTCAGAAAACTTTTATTTTGGGGTGACACAAATATTGTATGAGTCAACATCCAGTTCTATTACCTAGAATATTATGAGCACTGTGAGACTTGTGATACCGCAAGCTGTGATGCTCACAGCACTAGGCCAGCAAAACACTTCAGAGAGTTCCATTTCATCCATTAACATGTTTTTTGAGATAAAGTGCTGTAGAGAAAACTGAGTAAAATACAGATTTTTTTTTTTTTTTTTTTCCTAAGACGACAAGATTAATACTATGATAGCTTATATGCTAAGGAGAAACTGACAAAGTCATGCAAAACATATTAACATCTTCTGTCAGGCATCAAATTAATGTCATTCATAGTAATACAGGAAGAAACTGTTATTTCCAAGGAAATTTTTCCAGCCCACTTTCTACATTTCATTTGTCTTTTGTTGTAATATGTGGTTATCGCCTTTCTTCATGAAAGGAATGGTAAATGATTGTCTCTGAACATGGAAATGACTGCACATATTTTATGATTGAAGATTAGTGAAGACAATATCCAGTTTCTAGGCACCCTTTAAGTTATTGTATTTTAATGATTATAATTGTTTTCCAGCTGTTCCAGATAAAAATTGCTGCTTCCAAACAGAATGCTGGGCTGTAATTCAATCTCAAGGTTTCACTGCTATTAATAGTCTGCTTGGGTTGCTGTTTAAGATGCCAGCAGAATCCCACGACTGATTTACTACATTTACACAACAGGGAATGAGGGGCTGCTGTATGTATCACTCAGGTACCTTCTTGTGCTCACTTCATTATTTCTCAACACATTTTCTTCCCTTCAAACCAATTCCTCCATATGAGACTTCATACGGAAACATCTCTGGTAAAAATGGCACTACAGAGCTAACGCATAGTCCACCTGCAAGATACCTCAGCGATTTCAGTGTTCTTCCATGTATTTACCTTCTACCACTTCTTGAGGCCACATTGTTCTCTGGGCACATGAGCCTGCACTTCCAATCGCAACCATATAAACTTCCTGATAATGGGGCTAAGTTCTACTATTAATGTCCTTTAAGTTATGTTTCACATTCACAAGGTATTTTAAACCGTAACATGTACTTTCCCGACAATGAGTTAACAGCTACAGTAATGAGCCAAGATGCGTTTGCTTTTTGTCTTTTTGTGTTTTTTTTTTTTAAATCATTATGTTCAAAAGGTATTACTCATTATAAACAACTAATTAGCAAAGATACTGTTAATGAATACCTGGACAACAGAGAAAAACACATCAATTTATGGTGTCCTTCCCAAAGGATGCTGCATTCTGTGCTACTGAACAAAGAAACACTGAATGTTAACAAAAAACAATTCCATCAGAGGAAGTACCTTACCTATAGAGAGCTCTTCCACCGATAGTAACCAAGTTAGAAAACACCCTGAAATCTGTCATATTCTCAGGCCACGACTGTATGTTCAAATACCCTGAAGGAGAAAAAGGCAAGCATGAGTATCAATGACTTCAGCCATAAAGACTGCTTTATCACATACATGAATTAGGATAGGCTTAGGATATATGATATTATAGGAGCTCTATATAATATTAGGCTATTATATAATAATATGTATTATACTGCTTTATCACATACATGAATCAGGATAGGCTTATCACATACATGAATTAGGATAGGCTTGCTGGTTTGAGAGAAATAAATAGGTAATGAACGCTGCAGACTACTGTCTTTAAATTCATCAGGCTGCTCACCGCTGTCTCCTGCAAGAAGGCAAAGGAGGGCTCTAACAGTTACAGCAGTTAGAGTCCACTTTCAACAGCCACAGTGAGGGCGAACCTAAACACAGGGTGAAATCCCGCAAGGCCTCCCATCCTTTTCTAAACAGCAGCAAAAAAAAAAAATGGAGATTTGCCTGAATTAAGAACATTTAGTTTTAAAACGTGCTAGAGACTTAGGACAGAAATTAAGAGATCTGTTATGATGCACTAGAAGATGACAAGACTTTCTTAAAACAAAGAACTTGCATTCGTTTCTGAGTGCACATGTGTGAGAGAACTATTTATCATCAGAAAGCATTCTCTGCACAAGTATGTGGGACTACTTATTTTGTGCTACACAGACCTCCACAGAGTGCAGTTCCCTGTGACTTTGATTCACAGTAGTGGACTGAAATGCAGTACATGTTTAAGCATCAGGGTAATTCCACTTAAGTATATCGCTGAGATCGTCAATTAGACGGTGTGCTTAAGAATGGCAAATTACAGACACCCAGATGCCAAATTATCTTTGACATTAATTAGGGAGAGGTTTAGTGCTTACTTTCATTTTTTAATACCACTGTCTTGCTGAAATACACAACTTTTGAGAAGTGAAGCACATGGGAGAGAACTCGTTTCAAATGCCAAACACTTGTTGAGCTCCACCCAGCTACAATCATGCCGTAGTGTCCAAAGACTTTTTTTGCGCATGAAATATTTTTTTTTTCATTTCCCTGTCTATATACAATCAGCAATCAATTGAGAACTCAAAGCTGCAGTATCTTCCTCCCTGCCCCTGAATGGTGAAACAACAAGCAAGATGCAAGAAAACCAAGTACTGAGTTCTAGCTATACGACCCCACTGAAAAGACACAAAAGATGGGATGAACTACCGGCCCACACATTATACATTTGTCTTTAAATTGCAGCAGCAACTGCTGTTAGACCAAGAGAAGTAGCTGCAAAATCAGACTGGCTTATCTGGTTTTTTTCTCCAAAGCTTATTTCAAATGGTTTCAAGTGAAGACCAAGACCCCTCTCCCACTCCACAGCAAGATCTTGGTCTTCTGATGCTTGCATACCCCATATGTAATGGGCAACCTATATTCATGAGCAAGGACAACACACTTGTGAATATCAACTGATACTGAAGTTGTTGTGTACGAAACTTTTACAAAATTCACAGCACAGTGAGTTTAAAGAAAAAAGCACCTTGTGTTCTTCAGAAAGCCCAACAAATGACAACTATAAATGCAAAGTTAAAGGTTCAGATTATAGGAAATCAGAAGTGTGTTACCTGTTATCTCTCTCACTGTTTGGAATATGTTTAATTTCTCTGGATTGATTGCAGCGATCGTGTGATATGGGTCCCTGAAAGATTGAAAGGACAAAATGTGATGCTCTGGGAAAAAAAATAATCAGGTTCTCAAACCTATCCTATGTAGAGAGCAGCATTCAAGAGGTCAATGCTTTGCTTTTAGGCGGCACACGCTCCAGATTTCTTCAGACTGTTGTTCCTGCAGAACCAGTGTCTAAGTTCTCCCAAGTCATCTTAAAGGAATATAACGGTGCTTAGTATCTTTAAGGTTCGAATCATTAATGTTTTAGTAAATATTTATGCTTATGGTAAATTAAAGGATTCTAAACAACCATGGGTGACCTCCCTAAAGGAAAAGATGAATTTTCAACATTTTTTCCAGGAATACTGGCTCAAATGGTACAGTTGCGATACTGTACTACCAGGACTAACAAAACTGCTACTGAAATGAGTGACAAGCTCTAATCAAAACAAAAGTAGTATGCCACAAGCTCCTGACACATGGCATTAACAGGGTACACATTTTAGAAGGTGTTGAACAGGGAAAATGACAAAGAACAGTTCGTTGCCAAGCAATTTTGTCACCTGAGAAATTAAATACCCCCCAAACATTAAAATCTCAAAGTTAGATATGCTACCAAAGATGAACCTGACTGATTTTGAGTGCCATCATTTAGTAAATATTTCCCCCCTAATTTTAAAGGAGTAAAGACTCTCCAACGATTTTAGAAGCCAACTAGAAGCCTAACCCAAACAAAAATCCTTTTCAAGATCCTTCTGCAACCCCATGTTATAGTATTTTTGTGGGTTTTCTGAGGGTAGAAAACACCCTCAGTAAAGGTGGATCGGGTTTTTCCACCTCTCCTCCTTCTGTTTTCCAAGAGACATTATTCTTGGAATTGGAACATGCAGGTAATCAACCAGGCTGTCTTTGGGGACAGGCCTCACAAGTCTATGCGGTGACAGACTGATGGGGTCACTTTTAACCATCCTGGAGGCGATTCCAGGTTAGCAGCAACAAAATGTGTTCTCGAACCTTAACATAAAGCCCATTGGACCACAAAAGCATCATATACACTTAATTTTAACAATCTGAGGCTCTTGGAAAACTAGACAACAAGTTTTCACTACCTAACAGAAACAGAGCACTTTGCTTTTAAAATGCAGTACTATTAAAAAAGGAAAACCCTTGCCTGTAGTAAACATGAGGTTACTGAATTTCACCTGCAAATCCTAAGACAAAGTAGTCTTTAAAGATACAAATATACATTTAAACCTTTTAAACAGCCAAATGTCTGATATGTTTTATCAACGTATAAAACTGTAGAATGATGCAGTCATCTTCTGCCGTTCTTATTAGCAGACAAGACATTTTTCAGTAGAATAGGCACAGCTGAATTTCAGAGCTCCAAAAATGAGAGTTTCAGCTTATTGTGAAACTGGAGATGAACATCTAAAGGGAAGATAAAAAGCTGGTGAACACTGAGGGTTTGTTGCTCCTGCTGCAAGTCGCAGGGAAGGAGGCAGCATTTGCTGCTAGCTGGGGCTGTCCATCCCTAAACTCCAGCTCTCCTTGGTATATCCCTCCCCTTCACAGGTAGCGACACAAGTAGAAGGCAGGTTGGCTTTTTAGCCCCCAAGCAGAAGGAAACAGAAGAGAGCAGGCTGCACCTGAGCCATACAGGCCCTACCCATTTTCCAGCCAAAGTGTCTTCTGTCTCTCTCAGGCAGCAGATATGTATCCTAACGAAGATCATTTTATCCATCCACTTCAGCAGAGCATTACCTTAGAAGAATGAGTACTACTGACTCACCAAAATTTAGGTCTACCTCATCCCACTCAAGTTCCGGACACTAATTAAAGCCAATTCATAATTACCTAATTTATATATAAACTATTATAAATAATTGCGCATAAACCCAATTAATTATTATATATAGTTTTTATATAAATTATTACAAATTCACAAAGACTTGAAGTTCAAATACTGAGGAAAGGGAAAAACAGGCTGCAGAATCACAGGTTCAAAAGTATGACAGGATCAATCGCAGTAGCACAGTTACCAATGAAAACAAACACAAAAATCCACTCAGCATCTTTCACTGAAGTTATTCTCTGCCTCTACATAGTCTTTCAATTCCCCACAGACAGCTAGACTTTAAGTCCCTATGTTCTGAAACACTGAAGATTCATGCTTTTAAAAAAGCTGCAGTTCACCCTCAATAAATGAATTTGTTAACAAAAGTTAACTAAAAGTCGGAGTGGAAACAGCTATTATTGTTGTTGCATTATACTGGCCACTTATATAATAAACTGCTTGTGTAGTTAGTGTCATTTTTACATTTCCTTTCTGCACTATTTGCAAAATGTAACAGAAATTTTAAACAAAAAGCTGTTCCAGATATATAAATTTATTTTAATTAATTCTCAAATCTTCTTTTCTTATTTTAATATGTACTACTGTAAGTTGCGCTGTGGAAGAATGTCGGGTTGCAGAACTCAGTGTTCTCATACTTAAGACTTGTTGGAGTGACTTTTCTTCATAAAGAAGAGAGACAAAGTGCTACACAGCTTCAACATTACATGTCCTAGGCTTATATTCTTCTATTAAAATAGAACAAAGTACTTTAACCCTCTGCTTTTTAGTCCATAATTTAGATATGTTTCAGACGAATACAGTTTTATTCAAGGTTGACTCTGGCCCCTTTAATTTAGACAGATTTTTTAATGAGACTCATCTCGTCACTTTGCAGCCAATATAACTTTTGCAACAAAAGCAGTTCTAATACTCAAAATTACATTTCATGCAATGCAGTGGAATCATCCACACAAAATTGCTCATGTCCTCTAGCTGTGCGTCTTGCACTTACTGTACTGTAAGAACAGTACTTCCTGTCCTGTGAGATTTAAGCCATTTACATCCAGCCTATCCGTCGGTCATTTGGCCAGATCAGAAACTGACAACCTGAGCACTGACTCCTGCCTGACCTTCTCCAGGGTTTCAGCAAGTTTGGAGCAGCATTTCCTTAAACCACTTGAACCAAAATCCTTCTTCCTCCCTATGTTACATTAACCTTTCACACTGTACTTGCTGCTGGAGAGATGAGACAACCAACTACACAGTCAGAGCTCACATTTGCTGGCCTTTTGAGAATCATTGAGCTGTAGGGCCTCACTGAAGTGGATTTTCAACTGTCTTTCTCATGGCTGGAGTCAAGTTGTAGGTGAAGCATTACAACCAATCACTATATCAAATCAAGGAAACAAGTAGTTTCTTTCTACCTCACCTAATAGGGAAATCTGAGCCAGGCAGCCTAGTGTCAACCACTTTATTATAATCTAAACATATTGGAATCTATAGAAAGTCTAAAGAAAAATCTGCAGGCACTCTCATGCCAGAATTTCATTTCAGATCAATCTGCAGACATTCAGTTAATCACATTTTTGCTATGCCATAAAGCTGCAAAGATGGACTTGGTCTGTGAACCATATTTAAGATCTCAAATCTTGACAACCAGTTGCAAGCAATGTTGAAAGCTCCAAGGAACCTAAAAAGCAAGTTAAAATTTGAAGCCTACGCAATGGTAGAAGGAATTGAGTACTTTACACTGTTAATGTATCATAAAATATCTGCATACTTATCACAACAAAGGGCCAAAAGGGTTTAATCTTATTTGTGCATTTTGAGGATTTTGCTCATTTTAATAGGTCCAGAAATACTTCAAAGTGTCACATGTAATTCACCATTGCTGATTAAAACATGAAGGCTTGAATTAGTAAGAAGATGCCATCATAATTGTGTTCTTTCAATAACAGAAAGAATGCAAGAAAGCAGCTGGATGCATTGGACCTCATCTGACCATCAAAACAGAGTATGTCGGTCTTCCCTAGACACATCCCATCCTTGCAGCATTTGCACCATGCATTCCCCTTTGCTACAACGGCAAACACATGCTGCACTGAACTGTGAACAGCAAGGCACTGGCTACCAGGCTGGTGTACCTTCCCTTAGAAGGAGACATTGGTGAGACTTGTTCTGCTCCTCCACATCTTCAACTGTTACTACGGACTTATTCAATATACAGCCATATTTAAACCAGAATACTGGATTTAAATGCCAGTGAGTTTTGCATATATCTGCAATTGAAACTTGAATACGTACTTCAAAACTGACTGACAAGAGGGCAGTTTTTTGCATATGTATACAGTGACAGCCACGCAGGCTATAACAATGTATTCTAGGTGAGGCACTCTCTCTGCATATTCTGCACATCAGACTGCTGGTCATACAAAATTTAGACAAACTAATGGAAGGTAACTTCCCTTTCTCCCTTCTATTCTCTATCAGCCATTATTGTAAGCCAGTACTGAGGATCTCATAAAGCAACCAAAGATCACAGTTGTCTTTTCTCTTTAAGTGCAAACAGTTGTCTTCATCCGTTCTTTTCCTAGAGGTTGAATCATAGGAATCAAGGTAACAGTTTCCTTCATAATGGAAGGCAGAAAACTACTTTATTGTGGATCTCCTATTCCGTAAAAGAAGCCTACAGCCATCATTAAGAGGTGGACGCAATTCATTTCAGCTGGCACGATGACATAACATCTTAACATTTTGTCACTTACCCATGAATCCCAGTAACAAGGAAGATAAGGTTGCCATTGATCTTGGTACAGTTTATGAACTTGTCAATGTTGCTGGAATCCACCGTCTGAGCTGACACTAAACTCCCTGTTCCAATGCCATCACATGCTGCCAAAACAAGGAGTTTGTGTAAAGAACTAGGAAAAATCACTGCATCAGAACATGCTGGCCTTCTAGACACGAGTCTTACATTTCTTTCAGACATAAAGAAGCAGAGAGGTGTTAAAACAGCACCCTTTACCCATATTCCCAAAGAAGCATGTGCCAACTTAAAACAAACAATAAGCTAAAGTACCTGCCACAGAAGGACACCCCAACACACAGGTTAAGGTATTTCATGCTGAATCTAAAGACAACCATGAACCACACAAAATCCCACTCGAGCCAGCTGTAAACAGACAGCTGATAACTTAGCTCAGACTGGCCTGGTGGCCATGCCATTTATTTGTGCACTACTCGCTGCACAAACTGAGGGGTCCTTAACATTGCTAGCTCACGAGGTCCCCTTTGCTTTGGTGGGTATGTGAACTTAACCATTCACATGCCATAAAGTCCTTCAGAAAAGACCTACAAACATGCCTTTACTCATCATCCCAACAAATAAGTTGCTGGGGCCTGGAGAAACTTTGGTATCCAGTGAGGAAACTTCTCTGTGTAGCCTTTCTACGTAATTTAGCTGCATTTTCTGGGACACATGATGCATACAGGAACAAATCCTTCATGACTTCCATCACATAACTTACCCTATCTCCCTCATTGGGCTCCTGTAATGGCCACTACTGGCAGTACACCTGAACTTCTTATAAACTTTCCTTCTCACAGAGGAAGGCTAAGAGTTTGACAGGAACACTACACATGTATTTTCATGCATAAAACTAGCCAGCAGTAAAGTTATTTACTGCAATTAGGTTAAAGGTCTGGACATGCTTTCACTTAGAATACAGCATGTCGGTACCGTGCCTTGGCAGCTAGCTCTGTGTTTGACTGTTTCAGCCATGTAGAGTGACTGTTGATTTACAGAGTTTTTCAGCAGCTTCATTGTGAATTCCCCTCTAGATATGGCTTCCACTAGGACTGAAAAGTAGCATAGGCCCACGTAGGAAAACTGATGGTGCTTTGCTCCTGAGACCTTCAAGCAGGGAGCAGAAAGTCTCCCTAGTGGAGCTTGGGACAGCAAAGCAACTTACAGATTTCAGTCTTCTCAACAGCACCATCACTGAAAAACTTCTAGTCTATGCTTTAGACACTTAGAAAGGAGGTAAAAGATGCTGGGAAAAGAGACGTTTTGAAAAAACAGAGGAAATAAATGGAAACCTAACATTGTATTGACAAGTATGAGACATACCATACATTGAAGCCAGAGCTTTAATATGGCCCCCTTTGGAATGACAAAAGGACAGCTATAAAACACCTCCCGGAAATAGCTGTCATTAAAAAAACATAATAAATAATTCTTTCTAAAACCAACAGAGAAATCCCCTTCATTTTTATCTAATCAAAGGTAATTGGTTTGGCTATATTACCATTACAACTTAATAAATTTTCATTCTATTGTATATACTTCACACACAGCCCGCATAGCTGAAAAGTTATGTGGATGTCCAAACTCTATTAATATTCTACAACATACTCATGAAGGGTATTTCATGCCAAAATAACACCCTGCTCTGCTCTACTACAGTGTAGTCCACATTCAAGAAAATGTACACTAAACTGCCACCTACCTTTAGGACAAATGTCAGTGCAGGGCTTGCACATCTTAATACCATTTTCTTCAACCTCCATCTTTGAACTCGGACATGCACGAACACAAGAGCTGGAGTCTACCACAAAGTTGTCTGAAGAGAAAAAGAAGACATTGGCAGAAAGTGAACCACAGGACTCAGTAATACTGGGACACATGCTTACGGACTCTGTGTCAATCCATCTTATTAATTACCTCAGCATTCCACAATGACATTAACATTTAATGTTCAGCGTTTTCAGAAGTGTATAAGCAACCAGATTAGGCAAGTTTTCGGAGACTTATGAAAACCTATGAATTGTCAGGCCTGATCCTCCTTCCTCCCCCAATTTGGTTTTATCAGTATTTGTGGTGAAAAAAGTAACTGAAGAGAAATAAAACAAGATGCTCTGCCCTGTCTCTTTCATACTTACACAAATATATACATCTAGGACAAAATACTGCACAAGACAATGACAAGTATTTCAATTTCGCCTTGTAAAACAACTGCCAAAGGGGATATAGACTGACTCTATCTAATTGAAAGCTTAATAATGTCAAGAAAGAAAAAAAAAAAAGGAGGGGAAAAAACAGTCCAATAAAGTAATTGGACAAAGAATTCTATCCCTTAGGTAAGTGCATGGTGTACCAGTTTTGTAAAAAAATTATCTTGCTTCAAAAAACCCAGCACTCTAACAGAGACAGAACTAAGCCTTGACAGTCACAGCCTCAGCCTACTGTCAATTTGAACTTCACCCCGAAGACTGAAAATTTGGATTTTGCTTTGGGTTGAATTATGGTTCCATTACTACTTCTTATATGCATTACTCATGCTTCTGATATGTAACTCATGTATAAAATAATGAATGCACAACAGAACTGTAAACCTTGGTGGGAATGAAAGGGAGAACAAGAATACTGTCTCTCTCATTTTTCTTTCTAACTAAAACAGCAGTATCAAAGACTATGTAAGTGACGACACTCTATATTTTTCTGTTACTTGTAATCATCTGTCTGGCATCTCAGAAGCATGCAGTTTTTACACTCCTGGGATTATTCTTTTTTTAACTCCCTCCTCCCCTCTAATTTTACTCCGGAGCTTTAAGACTGTACTGTTGTCAGTATTGCATGGCTCTTCCTCATTGGGACAGAACTGCTTGGAAAATATCTACGGTAACTTTCTGTCAAACCACCATTACTCCAAGTTAAGAAAAGGGCATCAGTATGAAGAAAGCATTTGGTGCCAGCACTGGCGGTACACTGTTATTTTTCTGAAACAGAAATTTCTACCCTTTTACAATCCCACTATTTTAACAGTTCATTCTGAATTTTACAAGTGCTGATCTAAAGCATGAATGTAAGAAGTGGTGGTCATGAAAACAGAAACGTAGTGAATTCTTTTTCTTTAAGAAAATCACTACAGTATAGGATACTTGGAAAGTGTCAGCAACCCAGAATGTCACTGTCTTTACTTAACACATGACTGAGTTATTACAGGCTGCAAGCACATATGGAGTGATTTAAGACACTGCACTATGCACTTAGCTCTCATTCTCTCGTTGTTTTGTAAGGCTCCTGAAATGCAACTCAAACTTTCCATCACTGCAGGGAAAGGCAGCTAAGACAGCACTTACGTGGGCACTTTTTGACGCAAAAAGCCCCATAGGTGTACTTGGCATTGTGATTATGCTCCAGCTGGAAGGTGGTAGGATTGTATACAAAAGTCTGGGGGCACTGCGTGACACATGCACCGCTATCATTGAAATTCATGCAGGCCTGCAAAACAAAGGAGGAAGAAAATATTAAATTAAATCATACAGCTACTTTTGGGATTTTTTTTTTTTAGTTTAAAATACAGTCTTGGTTGTTCAGACTTGCTGCAACAGTGAGGAATGTGATACATAGTTTTATAACCTTCATTTTGGCTACTTAGATTTCTTGCTAGGAGCTTGGCAAATACAGGACTTACAAAAGGGGACTCACAAAGCCCCCTTGATTTGAAACACAGCTAACTGGTAGAGTACTTCCTACAAAAACATAACAGCACTGCAATTTGTTTCATAACTATTGTTACTACTAGCAAACAACTAATTCACAACTTGATAGGACAATTCTACAACTGCCAAGAGTGAACTGCTATTTATCATAGTCAGTCTAAACAAATGCTAATGACTTTGACTCATGGAGCAGGAGTCCATCCTCCAGCTGAAGACTGAAATTCCCGATTAGAAAGTAAGAGGGATAAGAACTTCTTTTGAGCTAGCACAGGAGGGGGTCATTTCCCTAAGTGGCAAATTTAACAAGGTCAGTTGCTTCACACACTAAGAAAATAGGACTTTGTATCACTTAGCATTCAAGCTCAGCCACCCACAGCTGACAGAGGACAGGGCCCTGACAAACGAAGAGGCAAGCGTGTGGATAAAGAGAACCATGGTATGCGCAGAAAATAATTGACCATGCAAGGTTGATAATTAGTAATAGAAAAACCCCACTGATTTTGACATTCCTTATCACCACATATCATACATATGGCTTTAACCACAGCTTACAAAAACTTGTTGGAGTAATATGCACAAAGCATACAGTAAATGTAAAATTTCATATGACTATGAAAGCTGTAGCCTGGCTTGGATCCCTCTAGCAGTTTAAGCAACCACTGCTCCTGGATTCTGCTTCCTCACCAATCTGTCTTCCAGAAGCCAAGTTACTTTAGAAGTTTTAGTTTAGGGATGAATTCTTCTAGTCCTTTTCCAGGTTTGTAAAAAATACAGATGGTTTTCAATCTTTAAAGAGTCAACAAGCATACCAACATGTGCCTCATGGTCCACCCCCTCCAAAGCTGGGACTGAGAAAAAAGTAAGAAAGATTCCTCTGTTCTGCTACTTTTACTAATGCTCCTTATCTCCATTCGGATCAGGAGGAGCAGGACTGAGGGAGGTTACTTGTCATGGCAGAGGATTTCCCCTCAAGGGAGAGGCTAATAACGCAACCAAGGGAGAAGGACAAAATCTGCGGCTGAAACGGACAAATGGAGTTCCGTGATGAAGGCACTGTCCTATATGGAGCATGAGTAAACTAAAATGTTGATCCTGTGTTTTCTGGTTCTTTAAAATGTGTATTACAAAAACTGTTGGTTTCTCACAGAAACAGATTTTTTTTTTTTTTTAAACGAAGATGAATACAGTCAGTTGCTTCTTTACTAAGAACTGGATAGGAAGTCCACTCCATGAATAGGGTTGTGTCACTTTTCTGGTTCCCTTGGGCAGTCAACCAGGCCCTCTTATGCATTTCAAGTTTTAGATACAGTTTGGTTTTTAATGCAAGATAAAAAAAAAAAAAAACCCTCTAAAGTTTTGTTCTAGCATGTTTGCTTGCAGTTATGTCAGATGATGATTACTGCCTTGCTTTTAGAACTGAATATGCAAATCATCGTATGGCAGCATATGGAGAAGGATGGATGAATTTTATCTAGAAATATTAAAACCATATTTACAACAGGATGCTGTTGCAAGCTGCCATAATATGCTGAAGGATTTGTAATGCTTCATAAACTGTACTTTTCCTTATTAATAAATACTAATTTAGTTTGTTTCCTCAACACATTTTTTACATCCACTGTTGACTTAAAGTACTCTATCATGTACATGACAATCTACTGATAACGGTTTAGCAAATTCATAAAGTAAAGCACACTAAGACTCTTAGGAGAGATGGCACTTCTCAGGAAAAGCTCATCTAGAAGATTTGGGAACTCTTCATTTATTACTATAATGTTTTGTATACATTTGTAATTGCTTCAATAATCTATGTAAACTTCTAGCATTTCCTGCTAAATGCTGTTAATCTGTGAATGAAAGCAGAGGAAAGTACACCGGGAAAAAACAAAGTTCTGTATCTCAGCTGAAAGCTAAGCACAGTTGTCTATAGCCTAAAGGGTTACACTTTTCACCCAGTGAAAGTAGTCCTGAAAATTGCCAGACCCCTGCTGAATTTCTTTTACATTGCTCTTGGGCCAGGAATGAATGAGAATACAGCCCTGGATGTTTCTCTGCTGGATCAGAACAAACATGCTAGTTGATTTTTAGCATGCATATTTCCATAACTGCCAAATTCAGAAAGTCTAACTCATTTTCTTTCAGGCTGCCATATTACAGAACTTGTGCTGCAAATAACCAGTCCTTAACCTTTGAAAATGGACACACATCAACACATCAGCTTTCAAGTTGTTCCTCAACAGTCATACAGGACCAATCTTCCTCTCTTCTTTACCTATTTAGATTGTACATGACAAGGGAAAGAAAGTTATTTTCCCATCTCTTCAGTCCAAAGCCAACACAGAACTTCCAGTGATCATCGGACTTGGCGTGCCACGTGTACTGAATATCTACTTGTGCAAAGACCCAGCTACAAAGAACAGCTTTAGTAAAACCTGTTAGCATTTAAGTCAGGCCATCACTGTGTTTCATCAGCAGTGAAAGAATAGCATTTAGAATGTCTTTTTGAAGCAAAACACCTACTGCCATCGAAAAATACCTGATGAGTGAGCAAGCTTCAAGTCTGGCCAGAGAACGATTCATTTTTGCTGGTTTGTTACGATTCAGTTGCCTATGCTACCACAACATCTGCAATTTTCCATACCATAAGACCCCTCCTCCCAATCCTATCTGGCAGATTTTAAACTGAGCCTACCCAACTTTGTAGATATTTGTCTCTTCAATCCCTTGGGTATCTTTGAGAATCCACGTCTCTGTGCATGTTCTAGTTCTAGGCTGCTTTAGGCCTAGGTTTGCTTCCTCTGAAAACATGAGCAAAACCTGTCTTTGCAACCCAGTGGGATGAGCTACACATTTTTTGAGATCGGTGTTGGGTTCTGAAGCTGCTTACGCTACTATAAATAATGGATTACAAACAAGACAAATTTGTCTAAAGGCCTGTGTTCTTACTGTCTTCTTTTTTTTTTACAGAAAAAGTTAGCCTTTTCCTCTTTTCATCTTAAGTGTACGTAGTAGCATACATTTGAGGTAGAGTATTTCGGAAAGCACTTTCCTTCCATCTCCACTGAGAAGCATGCCCAGTAAAAAAAGCTCAATTTAAATCAAGTCTGGCAGTAATAGGGAACACCCTTCACAGAGAAGCTAAATTGTATTCTTGACTTTCAAATCAAAAGCACACAGAGCAACAATAAAAGCCATGTTCAAATGTAATGATAAATACTTCTAAAAATTCCCTATCACCTCTAAAAGTTAATTTTAGAAAAGCAAAGGATAAAAATCACTGAGATTAGCATATTAATCATTCCCAATCTCTATTTACAAATCTCACAAATCTGTTAATGGGTAATATTAAGTAGATAAGTGATGCTAATGTAATGTGAAAAATATTAAATGCTACAATTTGCAGTCTAAATCTGGGAGTGTGCATGCAATATATTAAAGGGGACAAAACTGTGAATTTCATGGATTAAAGCATTAAGAATATGCAGTGTGACTGCCAGGAACAAGAAAAATAAGAAGTCTCACACATACAAAGCAATCAGTGTCTTTAGGCCCGGAACAGCCCCCAGCGCATTCCCGGTGGCAGCAGTCGCTGACGTAGGGCCCGTAGCACCGTCCATCACACTGCTCCGCACACACTGTCTTCGTTACTAGGAGGAGGCAGGGAAAATTACCATGTCAGATTCAGAACTGAGGAGAGAGCTCTTCAACTTGCACAGAGGAAAATAATAACCGAACAGCATACTGAAACAACTCTCAAGTTTTAAGGTAATTAATTGCTTCAGAGGTACTGGCCACTCACATCCTTCAGAATACCTTCACAATACCCTCTTTAGGAACGTATATGTTGCTCAAGGACTGCAGAGGAAGAATTTTTTAAATGTTTGCTCTTACCCTTGGAAATTCAGGTGCATCATTATTTTCAAATTACTAGTTTTTGTGAACAGATGATGAAAGGATATGAAGAAAAAAACAACCCACCCAATATAGCAGAAGACCCCACCAGTTCTGTGTGAGTTTTCCTCCACGAAGAACAGCAACACTGAGTAAACGAGTAAAATTCAGAGCAAGGTCAGCAATCTCTGAGCCAAATGGTGTTCTTGATGGCAACCAAGTTGACAAATAGGCAATGAGGTAACAGAACAAAATACAGACTGCAGATTAGAACACATCTGGAAACACCACTTACCTTTTCTAAATAACACAATCCAGCCTTCATACATAGGGAAACAACTATATTCTACCAACTGGAAAGCACAGTGATTTAAGTGGTACCACGCTACTGTACTTCAGGGCTTTGTCTTGGGAAAAGAACTGTCAACAGTGGAGCATCTTCCTCCCCTCACTCGCCTACAGCCTCTACCTTTATTTTACCAAAAAAGAAATTAATACTATCTGCAGGACTATATGAACCACCGCCTACAGAATGCCAGGAAGCTGTGCTGTCAGCTGTCTTTTGATAAAAGCAGGGATGTTACACTTCTGTAATTAACCTTTACCATTTACTTTGTTAAAAGCATTTAATTACTTCTTTATGGAAAACACTTTTCAAGAAGGCGGAGAATGCAAAATTCCATCCAGCTTTCTGCTTGATTCTACTATTTAATGCATCAGTAACTCCTTTATAAGTGCTTTCTAATCCAAATTCCCTCCACTACTTGCCGGAAATACTTAAGGTAATGTCAAAGCTTCTTGATACACACAGTATTTATTTAGGACATAAAAATGTAAATAACTAAAGTCATCATTTATAATCTATGGAATAAAGTGATACACTTTTAGAGTAATTCCATCTTGCTGATACCAGAGGCAAACCCTCAGACAAAAACACTTTTGTGCCTTATGCAGTCTGATTTAAGAAATAAGGGAAATTTCTGTAAACAGACTTGCTGTCAACACTGCTAGAGAAACAGATTAAAAGGATTTGTTTATTTAAGTAACAGTATTGATAAACATTAGGACAGAGATATGAAACAGTGGCATATGTTAAGCAGAAGAGACATGTCGCAGTATGCCACCACCGCACCACTAGCTGATAGGGACAGAGTCTCATTTCGTGAAAATGAAGACCACATTTAGTCAATGACTGCATATTGTTCTTCTGCCAGTTCAGAAATTGGTCCACAGCGCCTTGATTTGCACTGGACCAGGCACTATCTGCTTTGACCTTCAAAAGGAGGCAAGGCCCAGATTTACCCTGACTTGACAGAAGCCCCTATTTGCCAAAGGCTGCCCCTCTGCCATCAGTGGAGAAGCACAGATGCAGAAGACATTCATTTCATTCCATCCCACAACCCAAATCCTCTGTGTTTACCTGTGTCACCCCTCAGACAAGGAGTTGGCCCCCGAGCCAAAGGGGCTCCATCCCAACCCTCTGCCTCTTTTTACACAGTGACGGTTCATGGCCATGCTTACCTCAGTTTTTAGAATGACCACTCCTCTGCCACCACTTTCTGGCATTACTGCTGCCAGCAGCAGGGCAGGCCCCAAGGCCATGCACTGAA